ACAAAAATGCCACACTTCCACAACGGTTATTACCAGTTTTTTCAGTCTATTTTGCCACTATTGGTGTAATTTAACTTTAATTGTGATTCAATGTGCACTAGTAGTGTAAAGAAAAAAGAGCTCTTAGTAACATCAAAACAGACAAAGAAATTGGCATGCACTGTATTTTGTCACTATTTAACACATTAAGGGGTAATAAACACTCGCATTAAGTTTTTTTACCCTTTTGATATATTTTAATAATAAATAGTGTTCATATGTTCATATTCTTTAAATGTGTTTAATAAAGTTAATAAGCACTAAATGCTACCTAGTGTATTTTATAGTGTAACTTTTACACTTACAAATCAACTCTAATATTTTACCCCTACACTAAAAAATTTACTTTGATAAGAAAGCATAAAAATATATAATAAGTTTATTACTGTTTTAAAACAGTTAACAATTTCGTTCGCCTATGTTAACGATGTACATATTGCTTTCTCTAATAAAACTTTTTGTCCAATTTTCCAACGGTTCTGTTTTTTCTCATTAATTTAAATAGGTACCTAACTGTACAGACATTCTAAAATTAATGTACTGCGAGGCCATACTTTAACTACCTGTCTATAAAACAAAACGATACTGCCATAACCGCCATAATAAAACAAACATCCCATTTCTTGTCAGCACAGGATATAATACTGTGTTTTATTGTACCATTAAATGGCAATTTATCTTGTCTTGTTAAAGATATAAATTTTAAATACCTATAAGTTTAAATTTTGACACATAGGGGCGTATTTTGAGAAAAACATCAGAAGTGGGATCGTTGTTAATCTTTTGAAACGTTGTAGCAAATCAATTTATACCTTTTCATTTCATTAGACGGTATACTACAACGACTGTCACGAAATATTAGAAAAAGATCCCGGAAGGCGAAATTAAGAAAATCAATTTAAAGTTTAATGTGCGATGATCAAGATGTGAAAGGCCGTGCCCCAATAACACCGAGATTTTAGTCACAATGGGCAAAAATTATTTTTTGAAAATCCTATATTTAATTTTTAATACAATAAAAAGTGTTAACGATAAATTATATAACGGTTATATAAGAGTTGTCAAATTATATAAGAGTTTAACAAGGTTTTATAAAATCTCCATTTAGTTTACTACTTTTATAATGGTCATATAAGGTTACTGCAAACTCTAGGTTTAAGGGTTATATAAAAGTGATATAAATATTTCTGTAACCAAATTAAAAAAATTAGGTTTTATAATTTGGACGATACAACATTTATGGAAACCACTATAAAAACAAAAATGTTTATTGGGATGGCAAACTAAAAAATTTACTTCTAAAATAAAAATTTGACCCAACGTTTATCAAGATTCTATTCGCTATTCGCTTCATGGGAAATTCAATGGGCAAAAACAAGTTCCTTCGCATTCTCGATAGATCCTCTTTCCTGCTGCATTAAACCGTTATAAGCAGAATAAAGCGAACAAAAAGAACATGTAGCATGTACCATTATTTACCACTATACAGGGTCTAATTCATATTGAAATATCTCAGTTAATATGCATTTTACGAAAAAAATGTTTAAATTAAAAATTAAATGATTCAAGGGGGGAAATCAATCAGTACTAAAATTGGTCCCCACACTCTCCTCCTTATAGGGGGAACAGGGGGTAACTTCAAAATTTCCAATGGAACACCCTATTTTTTATTGCAGATTCGGATCATTCGACTAAAAATAGGTAGATTTTGTCTAAAACATTTTTTCATATTTGTAATAGATGGCGCTGTAATAAAAAACTCAATTTTGTTGGATTTTTCTTCTGTATACGATTCTGCAATAATTTTTCTATAAAAATATCACTTTTTTTTGGTAATAATTATCTTATTAAATTAAATCTGATTTTTTTAAGTACCCACGATTTTTTAACTAATATTTAAGTTTTCTTTGGTTTAAGTTTTATACATTATTTCATTCGGTGATTATTATCAATTGCGCACCATGGTCACTTTTTACCTGCCAGCATTAAATCCTTTAATTTAAAGGATTATTGTACTATTTTTAATAAAAATACCGCATTTAAGGTAAAAAAAACATTATTTTGTCAATTAATTTATTTAATCCTAATTGAGGTATAAAGAAACTATTTATAGTTTAACATTAATAATTATTTAATCAATTTAGTTCGAAGATTAATTTGCAAACAAAAAGACCCCCTTTCGTTAAGCAGTTATTCATAATGGATTTTTTAACAGTGTAAAAAAAATAGAAATGATTTTGATTTATGGAGAAGCAGGCAGGAATCTTGATGATGATGTTAATATCTACGCTCAGCGTTTTCCGGATAAAATTCGATCGCGTACTTCATTTCACCGTACAGTCAAGCAGTTTACTACAAACGGGAGTGTTCAACCGAAAAAAAGAATGAAAGTTAAATGACTCAACGTGTATATTGGCCCCCTTTTTACCACGCCACTGCTATAAACTATGTAGTATTCCCGTTGCTAGTCGCTACTTATGTTGTATCAATAATGTTCAATGATTTGACAGGTTTCATGTCCATTAAACGTTAAATATGTACATTAGGGTGTCAATTTTGTAAAAGATCGTCATGTTGTACAATTTTTTTTTACACAATACATTTAATTATAAATCTTTGTACTACTTTTTAAACACCAGAAACTGCAAGGTTGATGACTTGTTAATTCTATTTCATTGGTTAAGAAAACACCAGCTTGATCCGATACATCACGATAAGGCTTAATTGGAATATAGAAATAGATGTATTAGCGTGCCTTACCTAATTACTTACGTTGCTTACGAGGTGTGTTCAGAAAATAACGGGAATCGTTAAATTTCGCGGGTTCGGAGGGTCCGATCGTCATAAAATTTTCTTTATTATGTTGGTATACATGCCCCCGAAGTATGATAAAAACGTTAGCTGTTTTCATTGTTTACTTTGTCTGTGGCAGCCGCTAAGGTTAGACGTGTTTTATGAGCTCGGCGATTTTCGTTCGTTAAAAGAAATGGATTAAAGAATTTGTATCCAATTTTTCTTAAAAAATGAAATAAATTCTGTGAAATGTTAACAAAGGCCTATAGTGAGTCTGCTATAAGTAAAACAAGAGTTTACCAGTGCACCATGGTATAAGAGTTTCCAAGATGGCCGTGAAGACGTTGAAGAACGCACAAGCACATTAACAACCGATAAAAACATGGAAAAAGTGGAAGAAATGGTTATAAACCATCAGAGAAGTCGCTGATGATGTTGATATATCGATTGGCTCATCCCATGAAATTTTTTCGAATGTTTTGGGTATGAAACGCGTGGCAGAAAAATTTGTTAAATTTTAAACAAAATTTTTGGCCAAAAACAATACTGTAATGATGCCCCAGCCTCCATATTCGCCAGACATGCCTCTGTCTGACTTTTTCCCATTCCCAAAAATAAAGAGAACCTTAAAGGGCCGTCGTTTTGCAAGCATAGATGACATTAAAAGCGCATCGCTGAAATAACTAAAGGCTATCCCAAAGATCGAGTTTTAGAAGTGTTTCGAGTATTGGAAGAAGAGCTGGCACATGTGCATAATATCCAATGGGGACTTTTTTGAAGGCGACAACATTAATGTAGACGAATAAATAAATATTTGTTTCAAAAAACGAAAATTCCCGATATTTTCTGATCACACCTCGTATATTAACTTGAAAAATAACTTTTAGTGTTAATACTCTTACAATCGTGTAAAGCTGCATACAATGTTATTTATTACCTAAACCCGGAATCACAAGTTAGCTTTTAGCAGATTTTTTTTTTTTAGAGGAAATCTCAAATAATGTTATGTTTTAGCACCTCGATGACAATAGTTGCATTGGCCATGCTTTTTAGAATCACCTATTGCAAAAATTATGTGTTGCGATTTTTTTCGAAAGGCCATTTATGGTCTGCTACCTCTGGATAAAATAAGTGCACCAGCTTGTAAATTTAAAACAAGTCTCTGCAATATTCTCTTTGGAAACTAAATCGTTTAAAATTTATTGACTGTCTATGATATTAATTAACAATGTTTTGCCTGCAAAATAATGATAATATTTGTGTAGTATTTAATATAGAATTACCAATAAAAATTTATATTACTTCAAGAGTTCTCTATGGTAACCTACCATTGGAAGCATGAAAGATAATGTGACAGTTCAGTTTATAAGTTGACAGATTACGTTTCAATTTCTAAGTGTATTAAAAACTTAAAACATTAATTTATTAAAATAAATAAACTAAATAATAATTATAGACAATGTCAGCAAGTTAGAAATTATAACCTACTTTAATTTTATTTTTTGCTCCACAACCAAGCTTCAATTTATTTTTTGCTCGATAAACAAGCTTCAATTTTAATTCCAAACTGAGAAAAGTAATATTTACCCAATAAATAAATTATATTAAATATAATCTTATATAGGGTGTTTCTACAATTTGATTTAGACTATACCTATAGGTATAGAAACTTCTTGTACGGACTACGTACATGAAACACCCTGTATATTATAAAAATGGCAAACTGTACTAAACTAAACATTTATGAATACTGCTACTGCTAATTCAAAACTTATCCTGGCCACATAATCATCATTTGCATAAAAAAGTTGATATATCAAAAAATACTCAAATTTATAAAAAAAGTTATTTATCCTTTCAAAATTGTTAAATGAAGTTTTTGTGCTATCGCGACAAATGTTTATAATTTTTATTGACAAATTGTTTAATAACCGTGAAATCGGTGTCAAATTTGGGTTAAATCATATTTTAGTTTGTTAAAAGTTACGCAATTTTACAATGATAATTATTCAACCTAAATCCTTCAAAAAAATCATTCATAGTGATGTTGCAAATTAATCTGGTGGTTATTAGTTACTAAAAAATTAATTAATAATTTCATGCTCACTTCACCTTCTTAACTGACTTATCAAGGAAACTTTTAAAATAATGATTTTTTTTCGTTTCAGGGAAGAGATGGAAAAAGTTAACATTAAGTTTCACGAAAATGGAACCTTATCGTACCAACATAAGAAAATATTACAATTTGTACCTGAATTATCTGTAAATAAGCACCAAAAGATTACAGTCCCAAATATACCATTACTGGTAAGCATCAATTTTTAAATTATACACTCACAGGCAAAATATTCGATCCACACAAATTTTCGATGAATTTTAATCGCAAATAACTTTTTTATTTGATTTCGGATTTAAACAAATATTAAGGAATATTGTAGATACATTAATGAAGAATCGCTCACATTTTAAAAATTACTAAAAAATACACGTACGTTTATAATATACAGGTTTAAACAAAAAGATGTTTTCACCATAAGTTTAAGACACTCTGTAGAGTGGCAAAACCGTATATTGTTCTAAATTAAGTTTTAATTATCAAGTCACATCTATTTTTAACAGTTTTGTTTTTGGTTCACCTTGATATATTTATTTTTGTGGAAAATATGATTTTTTTTAAAAAACATTGCAATTTCCAATATTTTTCCTGTATGAAGAACTAAGGTTGCTATGGTCCATCCATAGCCTATGGAGGATGACAGTGACAGTTTTGTTGAATCATCCCATACTTGGACATGTCATATACAGCTTTCAAAAGGTATCAAATTGTATTTTGTAAAATAATGTGTTAATTTTGAGGTGTCTTCTTACTTTTAAAAATGTCTCCGACTGATGTTGCCCTTTGTACTTTACTTCTTGTGACGTTTAAAACACTTGCCACGTAATACTGTGACCGTCCATCCTGGATTAAATTAATGGCTCTGGCAACATCAGTCGGGGACATATCCATTTTTTAAAGTAAGAAGACACCTCAAAATTTAAACATTAATTTGCAAAAAACAATTTGATAGCTTTTGAAAGCCGTGTATGACATGTCCAAGTATGGGATGATTCAACAAAACTTTCACTGTCATTCTCCATAGCCTATGAATGGAGCATAGCAACCTTAGTTCTTCATACAGAAAAATACTGGAAATTGCAATGTTTTTTTAAAAAATCCATATTTTCCACAAAAATAAATTTATCATATTTTCGATATATTTTCAAAAAATAAATAGTTGATTTTTTGGCCCAGTCTACACACTGTATATGTATGTATATGTAGTGGCATTATTATTATTTAATAAATTAATAAATGTCAAATGCTTTGCGGTCTGATTAATAAAAACAAACTAAGCTAAAAATTTATATATTATGCATTTTACTTTTACTTTAGGAGTGGCTACAAATAATTACTTTTGCTAGCATTACAATGGAAAGATTTATACGGTTAATTGTGAAATTTATCTGTTTCAAATAATGTTTGTAAGGTTATGTTGCATTTAGTTCACCCAGTTGTGTGTGGGGGCGCTTCAAACACTGTAGTAGCTGTAACAATGCATTCTCATCTCTGTGATTTGACTAAAATATTTTTATCTTCACGCGGTCTATAATTTAAACTTTATTGTTGTCAACATTTGATAAAGAAATACACCTAGGCCTAGGCCTAGGCCGATAAAAAATTTTATGAGGCAAGTAATTAGTTCGATTTTTTCTCGCTAGGGGTATTGTTTTGACAAATTAATCCTTTTCTAAGAAATTAACGTACTAAACTGGTTTAATTTATTTATAATAAGCACTAATTTGTTTGTTTTACTGTTAATGTTTAATATTTTTCATTAAATTATTGTAAAATTAAATTTGAATAATAAAACAAAAAGTGAGGTTAGGCAACCAAGAAAACGCACGATTCTTTTTCTACGATTTAAATTATCTTTAAGTTTTAATTTGCTTTAAATTTTCAGTGAAATTAAATGTTAAACACAGCTTAAACATTCCATTATTTTTTAAATAAAAATCCAAACAAATTGAAATTAGATACCTACCTATTTATTAAACAATTAATTGAATTCAATGTAAGAGCAAAAATCATGTTGCTAGGTATTGTCAAACTATTACTGCTTCTGAAAGCAATAATAATTATTGTACATTTAATGTAATCTTTAGCTAATAAATAAATGAGATTCTAAAAAAGTGAGGTTAGGCCGCTTTGATGTTGAATTAAATTGACCTATAAAAAGTGCTTTGAAACCTTGAGCTTAGCACAAAAAGCCTTACTTCTTAACCTAATGACGTAAATAACTATTTTTCAGACACTGTCGACTTACTCAAACACATTGGGAAGTTTTATTCAAAGGACAATATCCTTTCTGCTGATGGTTGGAAAATTTAAACCTTTTGTGACGGTGACAGCAGATGAGCTGGTGTTCGGGTATGACGACAAATTGGTGTCGTTGGCGCACCAATTTTACCCCAAAAGAAAAAGACCCATGTCCAAAATGGGACTGTTGATCAATGTATACCCATCACTTTCTATAAAATTTTTTCTCACAAACTTTTTACAGAGAAACGGTACCCTCAACGAGATCCACAACATCTACACTGGATCCAGTGGTATGATGGAGTTTGGACTCCTGGAAAAATTAAATGGTGACGATAGGTTACCGTACTGGGAGAACTCGCCGTGTAATGCTTTAAGAGCAAGCGAAGGCTCATTTTTCCCGCCCAGATACTTCACCAAACAGGACATGGTCCACATCTACGACAAAGATCTCTGCAGGATAATGCCACTGCAGTACCGAGGTCCAGTCACCAAACACGGTAATGATCTTCGAAGCTCATCAGTGCCGGGTTAAATATAGTCTATATTGTTTTTTAAAGGCATCCAGGCGGATTTATACACGCCGCCCAGCAGCATTTTCGAGAATGTGGACAAATATCCAGATAACAAATGCTATTGCCCCGGAAACGAATTCTGCCCACCGAAAGGATTGCAAAATATAAGTCCTTGCCAATTCGGTAAGCATTCGCTTTTGTAAAGTGAATACGACATAAATAATTGTTTGTTTAAGATGCCCCTGTTTACCTGTCATTTCCGCATTTCCTGGATGCAGATCCAGAATTACTTCAAGGATTCGAAGGACTGTCGCCCAACAAGAAAAAACATCAGTCTTATTTCAAAATACAACCTGTAATTTTCTTTAATAATACCTGCTTTTTTTTAAGTTTATTTCGTAAAATAAATAATGTTTTACTTTTTTAGAAACTTGGGGTGCCACTGGAAGGCAAAATTCGGGCGCAGCTGAACTTGAAAGTGGACCAGGCTCCGTACGTGGCACCAGTAAAAAACTTTCCTACCATAATTTTTCCAATAATGTGGGTCGAAGAGGTAAGTCTAGTACCCTTATAGGGTAAGTCAAAAAAAAAAAATAGGTTTCACAGAAAGTCCAAAAATCACCTCCAGAACAGCACCGTGCCCTGCTCTAGAAACGTAAATGACTCCGCCATTCGACAGGGTCGAGTTTCTACCTCTCTGTTGAATATAGTAAATCAAAATAATGCATCTGCAAAGATAAAGAAAAAATATGCATTAGAAGTTTTTTATATTTTTTGTGATACGCCACTGGTTACACACTTGTTTATCTATGCACACCTGTATTTTGTGAGTACATAGATACCAACCAACAAAGTAGCTATGCGTTGCCAGATGTAAAAAATTGTTACTAAAAAATTTTCTTGCAAAAAATAAATAAAAACTCAATAAATACAAAAGTTTTATGCCCTTAAAGCTCTAATACCCTTCTGTATTTATTTACTGATCCAGCTATTAGCTTAAGCAATGATTAGAAAATTTAGTACCTTTGAAATTTGAAATCCATAACCACAAAATTAATTTTTTCATCAGTTTTTTTCTCTGTTTGCTCAGATGAAATTGGGACCAGTTCACAGGTTAAACTTTAAACATTTAATTTGTGTAAATAAATCCAAAAGCACTTCCCTTAGTTAAGATATTTACAATTTGAAAACATAACCTAAAATTTAAAAGAAATGCACTAGATTCTGTCATAAAAGTTGGCAGATTTTGTTTGAATTTACCTTCAGTACAAAAATGAAATAACCAACAATTAATAAAAACGCCAAATTGACAATTTGCATTGTTAATTTTGTCATTTTTGTAACTAAGCTAAATTTAAACATTGTTTTTTTGAGAGATTTTGGATACACTGTTGTTACCAACCATAACATAATAAATCCACCAGATTAACCTAAAATTCCTAGTCGATCAGTGGCGTACTTTTTGGTAGGATAAAGGTTATTATAAATTATTTTTAGACTTTGGAATTTAGAAAAAAAAAGTTTCAGGTGCTTCTTTATGGACCCTAAGGAACAACCCATTTTAATATATAACATTAATTACATAACACCCTGTATACAGTTCTATGTGTTTCCGTTTGCTGTGTAGGTTCACAAAGTTAAGTCAAAGATTATTGAATGAGAAAAACTGTTTTCAGGGGATCGACGATGTGACGCCGGCTATCCGTCGCTGGATGTATTTAGCCACGACGTTTGCAGACGTCGCTTGTCCGCTGATGACGTACGGCTTCATCTTCATCGGCGGATGCATCCTGGTAGGCGTGTTCATCAACACCTACAAGTCCATAGTGTTCACCAAAGAGACCATAGAGGTGGGGATGAAGCATCTGCGAAAGCGGGGCAGCCTCTACATCCACCAGCCGAACCTCGTGATTAGCAGACACGACACCTACACACTTTTGGATATGCGGGAGGAAATGGAAGTCTGAGCCGTTTGTTGTTGTTGTTAATATTGTTATCGCCAGTTTATCAAAGTTACGTCCAAAGAACTGGAAATATGTAGATTAGGGTGATTCATTTCCGCAAAGTTTTTGTTTTTTTTCGGTGCTCAAGCAAAATATTAATCTGCATATAGGAAAAAACATTCTCACCAAGTTTGAGCTCTTAATATTAATTTTAAGCACTTACTATTTAAATTTAAAGTTTTACCGTTTAAAATGCATCTAAAAAATATTTTTTTTTTCCAATTTCTAATGCTTACCCACCTTTGACAATATTGAAAATCGGTTTAATACACCTTATGGGGAATTTCACGCTCTTTAAAATTGCTTTTGAGTTTTTTTGTAACTCGCATTGGTTCACCAGTAGGAGTCGTCAAAGGACAGTTTTTGAAAAAAATCGTTTTTTTTTTATTTTTTAGAGCAAATCGTCAAAAGTAGTGAGAAAAAAGGGCTGATTCATAAAAAAAAAGTTATCCAACCAATATTTAATGAATTTACTGCCATTTTTATAACTGAAAACGTAAGAAATTGATAAATACCAACCCATAATGTTATTTAGATTGATTTTTTCTATTTATTATCATTATATTTCCCTACGCTAAGAACTTTTTTAAAATTATTATGATTTCTCACTCATAATGAATATGAAAACACTAACAAAACTTTAATCGGAATATACAGAAGGTTATGTAACATATTTCAAATTTCGCTTCAAAAAATTAAATAATCTTCATTTATATTTTTTTGCTATATGACAGAAATGTTGAAAAATTGCAAAATTTACGTTACAATTTTCTAATTGTTTTTTTATGAATTTATCTGTTGTTTTCATCTTCATTATAAGTGAGAAATCAATAATTTTAAAAAACTTCTTAGTGTAGGGAAATATAATGATAATAAATAGAAAAAATCAATCTAAATAACATTATGAGTTGGTAATTATCAATTTCTTACGTTTTCAGTTATAAAAATGGCTGTAAATTCATTAAATATTGGTTGGATAACTTTTTTTTATGATTCAGCCCTTTTTTCTCCCTACTTTTTGCAGTTTGTTAGAAAAAATTAAAAAAAAAAACGATTTTTTTCAAAAATTGTCCTTTGACGACTCCTACTGGTGAACCAATGCGAGTTACAAAAAAAACTCAAAAGTAATTTTAAAGAGCGTGAAATTCCCCATAAGGTGTATTAAACCGATTTGCAATATTATCAAAGGTGGGTAAGCATTAGAAATTTGAAAAAAAATATATATTTTTTACATGCATTTTAAACGGTAAAACTTTAAATTTAAATAGTAAGTACTTAAAATTTATATTAAGAGCTCAAACTTGTTGAGATTTTTTTTTCTATATGCAGATTAATATTTTGCTTGAGCACCGAAGAAAACAAAAACTTTGCGGAAATGAATCACTCTAATGTAGATACAGTGTATTATACATTTATAGTGAATCAACCCTGTTGTACAATATTCATTAGTTGAATCATCCCCATTACCATTTCTTTTTTAGCATTTAGGATCTTCCCAGTGTACCAATACCTGCATATTTTTACCCATTGCAATATTTAACATGGTATGTCAATTATCTATTTCATAGGTTTTACCTTATGACATGACTGAATACTTTTGTAAAAGGGTAAATTATATAATGTTGTTTCGCGAAAATTTGCTCAGTTAGATCATATGGTATCTGTATATATTTTTTTAGTAAATATATTTTTAAATAAATTTTAGTTGTTTGTCTTATTTCCTCCGGTTCCAGATATCTGTTCCAGACGTGTCTTGTTGTATATGGGACTATTGAAGAAACTTTAAAGTGTTTTACGACGGTCGCCGGTCTCTTTATATTACTCTTTCATTACTAAGTTACGGCTAAAGTGGGGAACAATTATTGAGTTCCAAAAAGGTAACAAATATGTCACTAGCTATAAACCCTGCTACTATTTGGAACGTAGCTGCTACGTTACTAGAACGTTCCAATATCGTTGCTAGAGCGTTATAATTACTTTTATTTATTTGTTTTTACTTCTATATTAAGTGTCTTTGTCAAACTTATATTAGAATATACTATCCCTCTTTTTTTAAATCGAACCACTACGGACTTGGCTTTTCAATGTCGTCGTTTATTAAATATGTATTGGTAGTTTATAACTTACAGAATAACAATATAACTGTTGAACTGTTGAACTTATGAATTTAGTTTTTGGAAAATAAATGCGCTTCATCAATAAATAAAAAATCTTAATATTTATTATTAATTTTTTAAATAATTATTATTACCGTCTATTACCAACAAAATTACTATTTATTAAAAAGTAAACAACAATTTACATACAATTAAAATAATTTATTATTTACATTACCACGTGGTACTGTACAGTAAAAAATGGCCGATAAGAAGCATTTTCCTTTGAAGTAGTTTTCGCTACTTTAAAGTTTTTTCCACCTTAATTTACTTTACGGTAGTTTTGGTTAGTACCATAAACGTTCCAAATACTAAAATAATAACTTTTAAGTTATTAACTTTGTAGTTTTTAAGTCATGTTTCAGTCTCGAGATTTTACCTTGCAAAGGGACTACAAAGTAAAAATAATTATAATGTAATCTTTAGGTAGCAACCGAAAGTAACTGCTACAAATTAAATTTACTTGAAAGTTTTTTTACTTATAACACCTTTTTTAAAGTTGCAAAGTCTTCTTGGGGGCAACCAAGTTTTACTTAAATGTTTATTACTTTATAGTAACCATTTAAGGAAAGATGAAGTTTCTGTTACAAAATATTATTATTTAAAAGTTATAATTACTTTTAAGTCAAAATTAAAGTATTCTTAACTAATTTAAAGTTATCACCACTTTGGTAATGGTTTTTGTAACCAAAAATGCTGCTTGGGTACTACCAACATAAAATGTTCCTAAAAAAATTGATGAATGTAGTGTTAAAGGAACTAATAAATAAAACATTGAAGGATTGTTTAAGAATGCTTTATTAATTTTTTATTCTATGCTGCTTCTATAACAGGTTAGGTTCCTTTTGGTTCTTCTAAAACTACAGTCTTATTGGTGTAGACGATTCACACAAATTTTTGTACCTTTTTTTTCGCATTTCCTTTCGTCACAATTTTCTACTGTGCATTTAGGTTTAGCCTCGGGTTTAGCTTAAAAAAGTAATAACGAATATACAGGGTGTCCCATGTTTTATTAGCTGGACTTCGCCAGCAGATTTAGAATTCTTACTGAATTTGTATAATTAATCTTTTTTAGTTTGAAGGATATCTTTGGAAATTCTTGGGTATTTATTAGTTAAAATAACTTTCTATATATAAAAAGTGGGACACCCTGTATATTAAAAATTTATTTGGGAATTTTATATTTGCTTACGTTTTGGAGAATCCAGACAATATATTTTTCTATCTTTTTTAGTCTTTAATAGACAACTGGACTTATTATTTACTGCAACTTCCATAATAGAATCATTAGGTGGCCCTTAAATAAATAAAAATAGGTACTTTGAGAAAAACTTTTCTAAAAAATCTTTGTGTTATTGTTTTTTGTTGATTGTCCATCAGGGAAAGGGAAAGGGATAGGTGTCTCCCCTTGAAAAAATAAAACAAAAATATAGTACTTTATTTGTATGGCCATTACTAAACATTTGACCAACTTTTAATATACCAAACACTACGTTTAATCCTCTTTTATTAATTAATTCTTTAATCGTGTATATTTATTGGTAATTTTAAAATAGTCATTAATTATTTACATTAAACTTTTGCTTTATGCACGTGCAACAAAAACGAATCCTAACCTCAATCTAATTACTCATACCCACTTTTTGTTTTGGTTGCTGTTTTGTCTGACATACTCTTCCAGTAATTTTAAGTTTGTACCTTGGCACGAAGAAATCACCAAAAGCGTGGAAGACGCATTTACAACGTTTTTGTATTTTTTTCAGTTAGTTTTGTAATCACTACTTTCCAGTTGAGGCATAGTTTCCAAACAGCACACGCATGCTAAATATATGAGTTTTGGAATCATTACTAAACACTGAAGCACTCGTAGAATGTCAAAGCTGTCCCAAATTTACTAGATTTTTTAGCAACATTCCCAAAAATTTCGTTGAATTCGATATATGAGATCCCGAGATATGTAGTGGAGACAAAATTTTTTATACATAATATGATAACTTTTGATGAAATCCTAAAAACTTACTTGGTTTGCTGGTTGGTAATGTTGTATTATTAACTTGTGATTTTTCTGTTGTATTTAATATTACGGCGGAAATCACAAAACCAATAATATTAAACAATATTATGAGCTTCATCTTACACTGATTTTAGCAAGTAGGTCTTATCTTGTACTATGTTTGGTTGTGACTAACGATAAAAATATAAAACTGGACATGTGGTAATAAAATACTGATAAAACATTATAAATTATGATATATTTAATATTTTATGGTATTTAAGATTCGTTTGACAAATTCTTGTTGTTGTTGTTTTAAAATTCAAATTATCTCTAATACTGTTTGTTTTTCTATTTAACAGGAGACATTGGGTCACCTCGACCTTAATATCTTTTGGTTTTAAGATCTTCGTGCGTAGGCGCACCGAACGAACTTACCCCTGTCGCAAAAATGCTTCGCACCCCTTCAAAAGATGGTGGAGAGATTCTTCGTCTTCATAAAAGAATATGCAGGAATCATCATCTACCTTTTCATTTCCATCTATAACAATAGATGTACTTGTAAACAAAAACTTAAAATTGTGGAGGATTAAAGTGGCCCCCGCGTAGCCCAGATTTGAATCCGATTGTGTGTTTGTAAGGGACGTTATCTACAACTACGCGGCAAAATATGAAATGTGTATTTTGAAGTAAGAAACAAGAGTTTGAAATGTACTTTTTAATTAAATTATAACAAAAACTTAACAAAATAAAATAAAAAATAGTCGGTGTGGGGACTTGGAGGCCCAGTTCCTTGGAGACCAATTCTGTAAAAACCATGATGATGGTTTTATATATGTTTTGGAATGCATATTCGGCCTTTCTGAATACATTTGGTTAAATCACAATTTTCTACTGTACACTGTGGTTTAGCTAAAATCGTAAATA